AGTTTGAAGAGAGGTATTATTTATATATTATATGGTTCAATCTGAACTAAAATGGTAAATCTTATATGCTTTACTAAATAGTGTGTGTAAGCACCGCCTTCAAGTATATAAATAAACAAATAACAATAAACAAGCAAAAGTGTTTCAAAACAATAATTTTATGTACTTCATAATGGGTCTCATGATCTGATTATCAAGTGGTGTTATTAATGAAAAAATTTGAGAATTTTTTTTCTGTTTATTTTTATACAGTTTATTTTTTTTATACAAAACAAATAAGAAAAACAGAATCCATTTATTTGCTAGGCGTGAAGCATTATCTATACTACGAACGCAAAAATCAATCGGAAACGATATTGCATAGAGAACAAGAATATTATTAGAATTTCTAAAAATATGTCGAAAAGGCTATAGTTTCGTGATGTATTTATACCCAACGAAAATTATTCAAAAAATATGATCTTTCATTCCGCACATATGGACGAAAAAAAATTAATATATAATATTTGTCTAATTTTTATTTATTTAAATTTTTCTGTTTTTTAAAAAAAAAAAACATTAACAATCCATAAAAGCAATCTTCCTATGGTTAATTATTTCCCAAAAACGTAATGAAAGTAAACAAATATTTTCTTAATAAATACATCCATATGTCCTCTTTCAATATATTATCTCCATACATTATATCGTAATATTATCTCGAGTTTTATTAGAATGTTAATAGAAATTTTCTTTTCAATTTTTAAGGCTACACCTATCACGTAGTCTAAAATGCAGTGAATATCAACAGTTTGTAATGATTAGAAATACATAACAGATTATAATGGTTACAATAATAGTTAAAAAAATTACTAACATGAAATAGCAAAAATAATGTCTGATATATGTACAGGTGTTTTAAGAAAGTGCTTCGTTTTGTGTCCCCCAATACAATAATGATATATTTAGTTTTCAATAAATAAAATTATAATATGTATATACATATTGTTTTTAATAAAATTTTTTTTATTTTGTATGAACCTCGTAAAAACTTAAAAAAATATAATTTACCCTCAAATTTATAAAATTTGATTGAAAAATCTATTAAAATATCCGAACAAGCTTTTAAAATGTAACTGTTGCTTATAACGTCATATTTTAGTGTCTCTTTAAACCTATTTTTAAATTTAAATATATAATATTTTAGGGTACAAAAACACATTTGAAAAAAAATTGAATTGGCAATTTAGCAACAACATTTTGCTTTTATTTTAAACGCGGTGAATTATTGCTCGTGAGATTTGAACATAGTATTTTCTTTAAAGAAAAAAAAACATTTATTCATTTATTTTGGGGATAAAGGAATTTCCTGTTCTTTCTGGA